CATGCCGTACGGTGGCTTCCGGTGGTATAAAGGAACAGACCCTCTGGCTGACCTCCAATCGTTGTCGGACACTGGTAATACAGGGCGTATATATGAAGTGGACGTATCGTATCCCCAAGAGCTGCATGACGAGCACAACGACTTGCCGTTCTTGCCTGTCAACGATGTACCGCCGGGTTCCAAAGAGACCAAACTCATGGCCACTTTGAAACCCAAACAGCGGTACGTCGTACATTACGTTAATCTTAAACAGGCAATCGCACACGGACTGCAAGTCGATAAAGTATGTATAATTAACCTATAAACTATAAGCGATGATACTAATATAAATATTTGTACTGCAGGTGCACCGCGTTTTAGAGTTTCATCAAAGTGCTTGGTTGAAACCATACATTGAGTTGAACACTGAAATGCGGAAACAGGCGGCAAATGCTTTTGAAATTNCCATACATTGAGTTGAACACTGAAATGCGGAAAAAGGCGGCAAATGCTTTTGAAATTGCATTTTTCAAACTAATGAACAATGCCGTCTTTGGTAAGTGCATGCTCAATGCTAAAGTGGGTTATTCGATAATTTTTTACATTTTATAGGGAAAACAATGGAGAACATGCGGAAACGCATCCGTATTGAGCTAATCTCCAGTCCCGAACGTCTAAGCAAGCTCGTAAACCAACCAACCTTCAACGACTGTATCAAATACGGTGAAAGGTTGTGCGCCGTCATAATGGACACAAAGATGGTCAAGTTTATCAAACCAATATACGTCGGTTTAGCAGTGCTTGACATTAGCAAGACGCTAATGTACAAGTACTTCTACGACGTATTGAAACCACATTATGGCAGTGCAATCGAATTGGTTTACATGGATACTGGTGAGTACAACCGTACAGTAGAAATATTTTTTATATTTATATATTTTTAATTTTTCTCAGACTCCTTCATATACCTGCTCAGAGTAGGCGACTTCTACCAGGATTTAGCTGGTAGCCCCGATTTACTGGTGCACGTGGACGCATCTAGCCTGCCCAAGGATCACCCTTGCTACTCCACCGATAGAAAGAAGATGCCCGGCTTGTTTCAGACGAGACCAGTGGCCTCACTCTCTTTGAGATCGCTGCACTTGGATCAAAGTGCTACGCATTTGACATGGAAGGCAGCGAACTCATAAAGTCTAAGGGGATCCGCGGACACGTCGTTCGGAATCATCTGTCTTTGGACGANGCGGACACGTCGTCCGGAACCATCTGTCTTTGGACGATTACAAACGGTGTTTGTTTAAAGACGATGGTGACGATGGTGACGATGCGTCAAAACGAGCATTGGCTGGAGAAAATGCCCGTGCGGTCATCGGAGTGATACGTGGTGGCGAGTCTCCACCGACATTGGCGCTACCCTACACTCCGTACCGACAGAACGTGTCAATCCGTTCGTTTGAGCACGAGGTACGGACTTTACGTACAACCAAGTTGGCGCTTAACCGTTTTGATGATAAGCGCTACACGCTCAACAACAGAATCGACACGTTGGCCCACGGGCATTATGCTATACCGCCACCGGAAGACCTATAGTTTTTATCATTGTAAAAAAATATCGTCAAGAATTGAAAATTTTTTTTGTAAATATACATGTATATAAGTAGTTTTAAAACATTTTTTTTAATGTAACATAATGTAGTAAGAAATTGTATT